TTCCATTTCCAGTACTCTAGTCTCCCTGTCCCCCTTGTCTTCTCATCTTTACTTTAGAGTCATTGTTGACCTTTTGGTCTCATATGGATGGTTTTGTAATGGAGTTCCGTACTCATGGATAATATTCTTTATTTTGTGTACTACTCTGTTATTTAGTTAATAGGTGACCTGACGGGATAGTTTCGTTTCAAAGTTTAAAGAGTATCTTAGGGTGATAGTCTCAAGGGAGTCATCTAGTCTCAACTGGCCCAATAACTCTGGACTTTTTAAGAACCTGAGTTCTGTTCCACATTTTCCTCCCATTCTATCTATTGCAGCCCTGATCAGAACGGTAGGTAGTAGCAGCCAGGCACCATCTGGGTCTTCTGGTCTCAGGGTAGGTGCTCATGAAGGCAGTTAGCTCTATGGACTACTTTCTTCTCTGAGTCTTTAGTTTTCTTCTTTCTTGTTTTGCTCTTAGTAAGCGGAGACTGATACTTGGTGGTTATTGTTGTTAGGTGCTGTCGAGTCAGCTCCGGCTCATAGTAACCCTATGAGGGTACAACAGAACGAAATACTGCCTAGTCCTGTGCCAGCTCCACAATCCTTGCTATATCTGAGCCCATTGTTGCAGCCACTGTGTCAGTCCATACTCTGAGGAGGCAGCTCTTCCCTTGTTGTATTTGGAGTGCCTTCTGACCTGAGGGGCTCATCTTCTGGCACTATATCAGGCAATGTTTTAGGGCTATTCATACAGTTTTCCAGTAATATATCAGACAGTGTTTCACTGCTATTCATAAGGTTTTCACTGGCCAATTGTGTGAGAACTGGATGGCCCCTTCCTTCTTCGAAGTCTTAGTCTGGAAGCTCTGCTGAAACCTGTCCACCATGGGTGACCCTGCTGGTATTTGAAATACCGGTGGCATAGCCTCCAGCCTCCCAGCAATGTACAAGCCACCACAGTAGGACAAACTGACAGATGAGTGGTGGGATACTTGGTATATGTCTTAAATAAATATAACCTGTTTCCAAACTAGGAAGACAAAACTTTTGAGTTCAGTTGCTGAGGAATCTGAATACAAACACTTTAGTCTAAACTTTTAGACTCTATAGAATTTCTATTTCATATAAGAATGCTCAAACCCATCAGTCCACAGTCTACTTTAAAATAATAATAATAATAATGTGTTTTTGGTGAAAGTTTACACAGCAAATTAGGTTCCCAGTTAACAATTTCTATCTTTATTGTTCAAGGAGCTCTGGTGGCATAGTATTGAGAGCATTCAACTGCTAACCAAAAGGTCGGCAGTTCTAGCCTACCAGCCACTCCACAGAAGTAAGATGAGGCAGTCCTATGGGGCAGTTCTATTCTGTCCTCTGCGCTCCCTGTGAGTCAGAATCAACTTGATAGCAGTGGGTTTGGATGATTTCTTTGTTCTGTATCCTGTTCTGTGCTGAGTTCTTTTTGTTTATGGATTTTATTTTCGTTTCCTTTATTGCTATTGATTTTGTGTTCGCTGAGTCTCTAAGATTTTCTTCTTTTTTATTTTGGTAAGAAAGTTTATTAATTTCCTTTGTGGTTACTCTGAAATTTACTTTTATCTTCCTAAGTTTAAAACAGTCTGTTCTATCTTGAGATTGCCTTAACTTCTCCATGTAGAAGTTTGGTAAATACACCATTTATTCTCTTTTCATGTTTTGAAGCTGTTGTCCTTTACAGATTGATATCTCTGGTTTCCTAGTTACAGTCTTGTAGCTTTATTTTATTTTTGAAGATTCTTTGTCTGAGTTGGTTTCTGGGTGTCTTATCTTAGGTTGTTGTCTGACGTTGTTGGTTCCTTGTCCAAAGGACTCCCTTTAGTATTTTTTGTAAGATTGATTTGGTTTTTACAAATCCTCTTAATTTCTGTTTATCTGTAAGTGTCCTAATTTCACCATTGTATTTGAGGGACCATTTTGCTGTCCAGATAATTCGTGGTTGGCAAATTTTTTTCTTTCAGTATTTTATATATGTATCATCCCATTGCTTTCTTGCCTGCATGTTTCTGTTGAGGAATCAGAGCTTAGTATTATTGGTTCTCTTTTGTAGGTAGTGTTTCCTTTTTTCTGAGCTGCTGTCAAAATTCTTTCTTTGTCATTGGTTTTAGAAAGTTTGATTATGATATGTTGTTGTTGTTGTTGTTGTTATGTGCCGTCGAGTCGGCCCCGACTCATAGCGACCCCTCCTTGGGTTTCCGAGGCAGTTGATTATGATATATCTTTGTGATTTTCTTTTGAGATCTTTCCTATTTTGGGTTTATTGAGCTTCTTGGATAGATATATTCTCCTCTTTCATCATTTCAGGGAAGTTCTCCTCCAGTAAATCTTGGACAGTTTTCTCAGTGGTTTTGTTTTTCTCTTCCTGTTCTGGAATTCTGATTACACATAAATTATTACACTCGATGGCATCCCACATAACTCTTAGGCTTTCTTCATTGTTCTTTCTTTTTTTCTGATCATTCCTTTAACAGACTGGTATCAAAGTATTTGTCCTCTATTTTACTGATTCTGACTTCCATTGATTCAATTCTACTCCTTTTTCTTTTCAATGGATTATTTATTTCTTTTCTGTATGGT